TCTCTCTCTCTCTCTCTCTCTCTCTCTCTCTCTCTCTCTCTCTCTCTCTCTCTCTCTCTCTCTGTCTCTCTCTCTCTCACACACACACACACACACTTGTTTGTTTATTTGTTGAGACAGGGTCTCATCATGTAGCCCTGGCTGTCTTAGAACTCACTATGTAAACCAGGCTGGCCTTGAACTCAGAAATCTTCCTGCCTCTGCCTCCTAAGTGCTAGAATTAAAGGCATGTGCCACTACACAAGGTGTATCATGACTCTTTTAAACCAACCAAAACTCAGAGGTGGCACTTAGGAAGGACCAGTTCTGCTTATAACATGGAGAGTTATGCCAGCAATTCTCCTGTCCACGTTGCCATTCTTCAGTCATCTCATCAGCTAACTTTTTCAGCACTGGAACATCATGGAGTCTGATTCAGAAGTAGCAGTAGGTCACTCAGATCTATTTCTCCTGTTTGTCCATCAGTCACCTGTCAGCCACCTACCTGGCAATGACACTACAAGGCGTCTTACTTGAAACGCCATAACCACCTGAAATTCCCAGTGTGTCCTATACAAACTCCTGAAGACTGACAGAGAGACTTTTGCAAGCCTACGAAAGGTTTGCTTTCTAGCCTAGCCTACTCAAGTTGAGACTACTTTTGATAACACATTCACACACCAATTCAGGGTGGCTCCAAGACTGAGTACCAGCCGCCCTCAACTGGTCCACAACCTAGCAAGTTGGGGTAATAGCAAAGAAGCCTTCAAACAACTACTCAACAAAGGAGAGAGATCTCCAAATACAGCCCATGCTCAAGGATTGGAAGGATTAATATTATGAAAATTATCATCCTACCTATGATGGTTTGAATTAAATGTCCCTCATAGTTTCAGACATTTGGTTCCTAATTGATAGTGCTTTGTGTGAGGTTTAGAAGGTATTGCCTTGCTGGATAAAGTATGTCATCAGAGGCAGGTTTTCAGAGGTGGAAGACTTCAGTCCAGAGATGCAGGGAAGGTTCAACATACACAAATCAATAAATGTAATGCATCATGCAGATGGATATTCCAAAAATCATATGCTTACATTTCCTATAACCCCTTCTCTTCCCTCCCTTATTTCTCCATTAACATCTCATCATATAAAATACACATAAATATGCATATATAATTTTAATCCTAAATTCCAAACACTGAAGAAAACATGTGGTATTTGTTTTTCTCAGTCTGACTTATTTTACTTAAAATAATGATCTTCAGTTCCATCTGTTTTCCGGCAAATGTCATGTTTCATTTTTTTTATGGCTAAATAAAACGACATTGTGTATGTGTACCTTATTTTCTATATCACCTTCTCTGTTGGTGGATATTAGACTGTTTCCATTTGTCGATAGCAGAAATCCTGCCACTGTAAACATGTGTGTGCAACTATCTTGATCCTGTGTTGATAAAGAAACTGTCGGATGCAGATACACTCAGAAGTGATGTAGCTGAGGCCTATGGCCAGAGCGGCCTGTCACAAGATACCTAAAAGGACCCACTCAGTGACCTACTTCCTCCAGATATGCCCCACAAGTTCCCAGAACTACCTAAAATAACATCACACTGGGGACCAAGCATTCGACACAGGAGCTTCTTGTTTGTTTGGGGTAACACAAGGAAGATTTTATGCCCAACTCTATCAAACAGAACGCAGCTGTAGAGGCAAAAGTGAAGCATAATGGGGGCAGTTTGCTGAGAGGCAACATGTGTGAACTGATTTTTAACTGAGAAACTTCCTGGCTCACACTTCTACCAGGTCAAGGCTATCTACAAAAGGCATTGTTTTTACAACATAAAAGCTGCTCACATCCCATTTTATGGGATATAAGAAATATAGGATTTCAATATATGAAAAAGATATGGACACAAGGACTGGGAACCCTTTCTGCTTGGGCCCCCAAGGATTTCTTTATCAAGAGATAACAGAATACTGCTTGGAAACTTGAACTCAGGGTCAGGCGCTAACTAAAAGATGTCATGAGAGCTACTATCTTCATTTTACAGGGAAAATATCAGAAGTTCAGAAAGATAACATCTTGCTTAATAACCTGCTAGTAGGCAAAGCTGGGTCTCCAGGCTGCTAAGGTCAAAGTCTATGCTTTCTCATATTGTCACTTACCTGTCACCCACAGTGGAAGAAGAGGCAAAGCCAGCCAGCTTGGGTTGAAAACACTACAAAGGCTACCACCTTTCAAAAGCAAATGAAGGTTTCAAACCAGAGCAAGCAGACACGGGGAGGGCTCCTCCAGTAAAGACAACAGTCAGAAGATGGGAAGTCACAATATCTCACAGCTAGAGAAGTTAGCAGTCCAACTGGAAGGCCAAAATCCAGTGTGGATTGATAAAACAGCTAGTACGAAAACAGTTGCAAATGCTAACAGAGAAAAGAATCACTGTGTGTGTGTGTGTGTGTGTGTATGTGTGTGTGTGTGTGTGTGTGATGCATACATACATGCATGTCACATTAACTCCCCTCCCTGTGCAGAAAAAAATCCTACACCAAGTGTTGAGGCAGTTCTGCTCACAGACAGCAGTAGAAGCTGGCTAGACTTGAGGTACGACCAGAGCCACAGGCTGGTGTCTTGAGGGATTCTGGAATCAGTGTTCTTACTTTTAGACTCAAACTCATTTGAAAACCAAAGATTGGTCTTTTAAAATGCTAGGAGATAGGATAGAGGTGGAGATAATCACTCCTGATGCTTCTGAGGAACAAAGGGAGAGGGACAGTGAAAGAATTACAAATCACAAACCCTAACAGACTCTCAACGGCAAATGTCTTCTGAGGCCCATGTTCACCTGGCAGAGTCAAGCATGTGCCATCTCAAAATAACGTCCATGGTCCATGAACTACTTCGGGCCCAGAGTCATTGGCCTGTGACTTCAGAGAGGGCCCCTTGATCCTTTTCCCTGTAGGCAGGGATGTGTGGCAACCCTTTGGGAGAAGGACAGGAACAGCTCTGATCACAGGAGCCTGCTGGTGAGGCTGTGGTGAGAGCAGAGGAACTCAGCAGTAACCCTGAACTTCTGCTAGCCTCCCCCCGCTGCACCCCCCCCAACCTGCCTCTCCTATGACATGCCCAGAGTGAATCTGAACTCTGAGACCTGTGTGTCCTGTCATTCTTTCACAGATGCATCGTCCCTTGTCTTAAACATCTGTGATCACCATGGTTTGGAGCTCGTCTCCTGTGGAGGACTCTGTGTACACGGACGGTAAGAGAAGGGTTGTGCTTTTCTCTCCTCACCGTGTTTTCTGGATTCTTCTATTCAGCCAGAGAGAGCACAGAAGCACTGAGAGCCAGGAGAGGGGATTCCTCGCCCCAGGACCAAGGTGAGCGGGACCCTGGCTGGGACCACTTGTGTTCACAGTCCTTGGGAGTCACAGGGCTATCGCTGCACAACTCGATTTCTGTCTAAATGACTTCCTTTTCCAGCACCTTCTTTACCAGCGTGTATGCAACCGGGTCAGCAGTGACAAGGCAGCAATTGGTTGAGAGGTCACTTTGTGGTCACTGAGTGGAAGGTGTGGAGGACGGCACAGTTCAGAGACATTAACGCACGTGATCTAAATGAGTCCATAGAAGAAAGAGCATCACATAATTACTTTATTATATTAGTTAATAACCCATTAAATAATTAATTATTAGTAATTGATCATGACAGGCAGTTTTGCTGCATATAGTAATATGGGTTGGCGATTACTGTCTCTCAGCACTTGGAGTACGTCATTCAGTGCTATCCTTTCTCGTAAGGTTTCTGTTGAAAATCTGTTGTAATTCTCACGTGTTTGCCTTTGTATGTGACTTTAATACTTTATTCATGCAACTTTGAATGTGTTCTTTGTTCCCTATGTTTAGTGCTTTAACTATAATGGAACATGGAGTTCTTTCTTATTTTTGACCATTTGGTGTTCTTTGTGTCTCTTGAGCCCAGATGATCATCTCTTTCTCTGAGTTTGGGGAACTTTTCTCCTATGGTTCTATTGAATATGTTGTTTATGCCTTTAGCTTGTTCTTTTTTTATACTGACAGTTTGTAAATTTGGTCTCTGCCTGCTGAGACCTCTCACTGGCCCATCTTTGGTCTTCCAATGGTGTGTACTACAAAACCCGAGTGTCCACATAGTCTCTTTAGCTGATATTCTATTTTATCTATGTTCTCTTTCATTCCTGGTACTCTGTCTTCTATCTGATCTGTTCTATTTCTGTTTGTTTGTTTGTTTTGTTTTTTGAGACAAGGTTTCTCTGTGTAGCTCTGGCTGTTCGGGAACTCTCTTTGTAGACCAAACTGGCCTCAAACTCACAGAGATCTGCCTGCCTCTGCCTCCCAAGTGCTGGGGTTAATAGCGTATGCCACCACCACCTGGCCTATCTGATCTATTCTGTTGATGAGGCTTTATTGAATGTTTTAAAAAGACTTATTGAACCTTACATTTATAAATTTTCAGTTTGATCTTTTAGCATTTCAGTCTCTTTATTGGAGAGACATTATTTCATATCCTGTATCGACTTTCTCGACTTTATTATTTTATTCAGCTATTTATTTGCTTTGTCTTTGAGTTTATTTAGGATCTTATTGCATATTCTCTTGTTTCAGTAAACATTCTTATAGCTACATTTTTATTATATCTTTTAATTAATTTGTTATTTGTGCATACAAATGCCACGGCATGTATGTGGAGGTCAAAGAACACCTTGCCGGAGTTTGCTCTCTCCTTGCCGTGAGGGTTGTAGGGATTGAGTTAAGGCCATCTGCTTGGTGACAAGGGCCTTCACCTACATATAGGAACATTATAGGCATCATTAAAAGCATAAAGCAAGGAAAGACTCCTCTGCCTCCACTTCAAAACCAAAAACAATCAAACAAAACCTGGTACACTCTGAGTACGGCAGCTTAACTGGAAGTCTTATAATCAATCATTCCTTAAATTCTTTGTCCTGGATTTTGTCTAATTTGTTCTTTGGGGGAATTAATATGGAATCAAGAAGGGGGGGTGTCACACTGCTTTAATTGTTCATATTTTTTATATTACTGTATTGAGATTTACTCATCTAGAGTTATGTTGTCGCTTAAATTTCTGATGGTTTTGACTTTTTTATTATATGCATTTTTTCGGATGAGAATTTTCAATGTCTAAGTCTAGACTGTGGCAGAAATGAGGTGTAAAATCTAGACACTCAGTTTATGTGTCCCCGGCAGCTGGTCTGATCCCTGTATTACCCCCAGAGTAAAGCAGCAATTGTCTGAATAACAGCAGCTGCTGTGGAGGCCAAGTTGTACCAGGTAGTGCCCAGTCAAATGCAATGGTCCCTTTAGCTTTAAGGGCTGCTGGAAGATAAACTAACCAGGATATGGTGGTGCATGGGGTAGGAGTTACTAAGAATAGGAGTGGAAGGGAAGAAGACTGTGTAAAGGCAGGGATTAGTGTCGGCCAGCTAGGGGAAAAGTGGGAAAAGTACCTGGAAGGGAAAGTTGGGGTAGTGTTAGAGTCCACAGATAACAAGGACTGGAGAAGAGAGAAAAGAAAAAGTGGTCCGGCACCAGCAGTGTGGGCTGTGGCTGGGAACAGTAGAGTGTACATTTCTGCAGGACTGTGGCTGGGAACAGCAGAGTGTAGCGTTTCTGCAGGACTGTGGCTGGGAACAGCAGAGTGTAGCGTTTCTGCAGGGTGCCTTTGGTACTCAGCAACTGCCTTAGTTGGTTCTTTGCTTTCTTGTTTTGTTTTAATTTTATTTTATGCTCTTTTCTTAAAATATCTTTTTCTGCCAGGTGGTAGAAGGGCACACCTTCAATCCCAGCCCTGGGGAAGCAGAAGCGGGCAGATCTCTTGCGAGTTCGAGGCCAGCCTGGTCTACAAAGTGAGTTCCTGGACAACCAGGGCTGTTACACAGAGAAACCCTGTCTCGAAAACAAAAACAAAAATCTTTTTCTTCTATCAAGTTTAAAGGATGGCTTTCTTGGATATAGAAATTTTGATGGGAATCTATCTGCTTTTAGGGCTTGAAATATTTAATTCCCTGAATTTAGATTTTAGAGTCCCTTTTCAGAGCACTGATATTTGTTTTTGTTAGATACATTTATGCTTTTCTTTGATATAGCCTCTGCGTGTGTGCACACGTGTATATGAATGTGTCCATACACACGAATGTGCAATTGCCTGTGTGCACTCCTGCAGAGGCCATAGGTGGGTGGTAGGTATCCTACCAAAGCACTCTCAAAAAATATTTTAAATGCTCATATTTAAAATCATTTATTTTCTTCATGTATTTGTATGTGCATGTCTGTGCATGCCTACTGCCCATCTCACTGACTCTAAATATACACGTACAGCAAAAGGTGGAATTCAGCGTTCTCAAAGTTAGATGGTTAAAAAAAAAAAATCTTGGAAACACACTCTCGTCTTCCGTCTTCTTAAGAGCCTGAGTCTCTCCCCAGGAAATTAACATGTTCATTATGATTCAGCAGAAGGAAAGGGAGAGTCAAGTTTATACTAGCAGGTGGTAAGTGAGTAACTGTGGATTACAAAACACTGAAATTCCTTAGTCATTGGCTGAAGGTCACGTTACAAAAGGATAACTTTTTCCAGTTGCAGCAGGGAGCTTCCACTGGCCAGGCCGAGTCGGGGGACAAAGGTGGTGTAGGTTTTGCTGAGACAACACAAATAAGAGCAAGAGATTGGACGAAACGCTGTGGCTCACACCCATTCCATTATCCACGGTGGTATCTAAGAGTGACTCTCCCTTCTGCCGGCAATTTAGGAAAGAGCTAACAGTCTCCTTAGTAGATGAGGGCACTGAAGTTCAGAGGAAAAAAGGAAACTTGACCAGGTTTAAAATCTTTGAGTATCGGGTTCCTCCTCCTGGTTTAAAGTCAGGGCTCCTCTACCCTGGTCTGGAGCCCTGTCCATTCTGTGTGCTGTTGTCTAAATACTGTTCCGTATTTATCCCGAGGAACAATTAATTAGCATAATTCCAGGGGCTTGTCACTTGATCCTGTCAAACTGACAATCTGAACCACCACACAAAAGAATGTGCCTATGATTCTGGGTTAGTAAACCAAGTACATTTTCATCTTGAAAATTTTACATTTAATAATCACATTTCTCCTGTCTTATTAGCCATTTGCCTCAAACTCCCTTTCAACAGGTTGTTCTCAAATTTATTTGGCAATCTGATGTGAACACATGTTTAGAAGCCCATAAGCTTGCTATATGCTACATGCTCTTCTTGTTGGGATTTCAGAAAAGTGTTCCATAGTGCTTTTGACCTCCATTCACTCCCAAAACCTCAGCAATGACTGGTCTGGCAAGACAAGTCACTGATGCAATAGTGGGAGAGCACCGTGGGAGTAATCAACCTACTGTGTGATCAGATTTAAGTCCCGTTCCACAAGAGGAAACCCATACCTGGCACCATTACCGAGCCAAGAACTGGGGGCTAGAAAGGACTTGGGCCCTAAGGGGAAACCTACTGTTCTGATGCTGCTAAGTAGACACAGTATTAAACTGATTCCTGATGCATTATACCCTTAGATGCATCTCTCAACCCTCATTGGAGGAGATTCCATTTGCCGTTGGCAGTGATTAACGCATTGACCTACAACTAGTCAAGGTGCAAAGAATAAGAGACCACAGAGTGCTCGGGCCTAAATGGAACCCCCCCCCCCCCAAATGTCGCTACCACGCATACACAAAGCTCAGGGGTCAGTGGAGAAGTGAGGGGCTGTAACAGCGAGAGGCAGTAGATGATTAGAAGGAAACAGTGTTTCTGGGACACAGCAGGGTAGTTGTACATATGAACTCACAATGGTTGTAGCAGCATGCACAGAGCCTGCACAAACTCAAGCCCCAGCCAGAATCCCAGCATGGAGACGTGAGATGGGTGCAAAGTCACACACCTAACTGAGTAGCTACTGGTTATTGACAGCTACCGGGAGAGGGAGAATCAACTATCTCCGAAAGTGTAACCCCTGGCAAGTTGTCCACTCTGTTGATTTGAATGCGAATGACCCTCATAGGCTCTTATGTTTGAATACTTAATGTCTAGTTAGTGAAACTGTTGGGGAGGGGGGTGGTTAGGAAGTGTCACCTTATTGTAGGAGGTGTGTCACTGAGAGTCGAGTTCAAGGTTTCAAAAAATTCGTGCCTTCTATTTCCATCCATTTGCATGCAAAATTCAAGAAGTCCTTGTTTTTTACTGCTGAGTAGTACTCTAATATGTATATATTCCATACTTTCTTCATCCATTCTTCCATTGAAGGGCATCCAGGTTGTTTCCAGGTTCTGGCTATTACAAACAATACTGCTATGAACATAGTTGATCAAATGCTTTTGTTTTATGATAGGGCATTTCTTGGGTATATTCCCAAGAGTGGTATTGCTGGGTCCAGGGGTAGGTTGATCCCGAATTTCCTGAGAAACCGCCACACTGCTTTCCAAAGTGGTTGCACAAGTTTGCATTCCCACCAGCAATGGATGAGTGTACCCCTTTCTCCACAACCTCTCCAGCAAAGGCTATCATTGGTGTTTTTTATTTTAGCCATTCTGACAGGTGTAAGATGGTATCTTAGAGTTGTCTTGATTTGCATTTCCCTGATCGCTAAGGAAGTTGAGCATGACCTTAAGTGTCTTTTGGCCATTTGAACTTCTTCTGTTGAGAATTCCTGAGTGAGGTAAGCCAGACCCAAAAAGAGGAACATGGGATGTACTCACTCATATTTGGTTTCTAGCCATAAATAAAGGACATTGAGCCTATAATTAGTGATCCTAGAGAAGCTAAATAAGAAGGAGAACCCAAAGAAAAACATATAGGCATCCTCCTGAATATTAACCTTCATCAGGCGATGAAAGGAGACAGAGGCAGAGACCCACATTGGAGCACCAGACAGAAATCTCAAGGTCCAAATCAGGAGCAGATGGAGAGAGAGCACGAGCAAGGAACTCAGGACCGCGAGGGGTGCACCCACACACTGAGACAATGGGGATGTTCTATCCGGAACTCACCAAGGCCAGCTGGCCTGGGTCTGAAAAAGCCTGGGATAAAACCGGACTTGCTGAACATAGCAGACAATGAGGACTACTGAGAACTCAAGAACAATGGCAATGGGTTTTTTATCCTACTGCACGTACTGGCTTTGTGGGAGCCTCGGCAGTTTGGATGCTCACCTTACTAGACCTGGATGGAGGTGGGTGGTCCTTGGACTTCCCACAGGGCAGGGAACCCTGATTGCTCTTTGGGCTGACGAGGAAGGGGGACTTGATTGGGGGTGGGGGGGAAATGGAGGTGGTGGTGGGGAAGAGACAGAAATCTTTAATAAATAAATAAATTAATTAATTTAAAAAATTTGTGCCATTCCCAGTATCTCTTTCTCTGCCTTGGTGTTGGGTCTCAAGAAGTGAGCCGTCAGCTACTGCTCCAGTGCCCTACCCTACTTGCCTGCTACCACACTCCCCACCATGGACTCTAACCCTCTGAAGCTGGGAGCCCCAAATTAAACACCTTCTTTATAAGTTGCCTTGGTCATGGCGTTTTATGACAGCAATAGGAAATTAAGACAATCACTCTCCAGTGGAAGGCCATACATCCAACAACACACGGACAAGGGACTAGGGAGATGGCAAAGTTAAGAGCAAGGCCCAGCTCGCTAATGGCCATGATCTCCCTGCTCTGGCCCTGTTTATTCATGGTAGGAAGCACACCATTCCTACGTTACTTGTTGGAGCGAGAACAGAAAATGTATCGTGTGTGACTCTCCTTCATATTGTTCCCATGGAGTTTTTAACCTGTGTACGAATGTGGTTGAGAAAGGCTCTGATCTGTACTGACCTCTACCAGCCTCTACTTTGGACCCTTGGTTGAAACAAAAATGTCCCGTTTTTTTGAGGGTGGGGAGAGTGAAATGTCTATGGGTCTCAGTCTTTCAAAATGAACAAAATATTTTTTGAAATGACTAATGATTAAAAAAAAATGACGCTTGTGGTGCCGTGGGCTTAGATCAGTGGTAGAACACTTGCCCAAGTACACACAAGGTCCTTCCTTGTTCCGGTGCCAGCACCAGCAAGAGAGACTTACATAATTACCTGGGAAATTTCCAGTGGAAATAGTTTTGTTTTAGCTTCATGCAACTCTTCCTTTAACTGTGAACTCTTTTTTTACCCTACATTTCATTGATATTTTTATTTTTCCATTGAGATTCACGGTGGCCCCCATGTAGGTTCACGCTGATTACTTTCCATTGTATTTGGGGAAAGAAATTGAGGGGGTTTTCAATGAGGCTTCCAGCTGGATATCATTTCAAATGGGAGGTTCCCAAGGTAAGTTTCATGGCACTCACAACATCCGAATGGTTGCCACGTAGGAGTCCCATTGAATGTTCTTCCAAACCTCCCCTGTCACTGGGATAGTCACTTGTCATAAGCCAGAAGAGAAAGAGACCAAGGCAATTACCCCACCACTCTTTACTCTGCTGCACACCCTGGCCTGGCCTTGGCGTGGAGAGCAGCGTGGGCGGGCTCCGGAGAGAAAGCTGTTTATCAGCGTGAGCTAAGCAGCAATGGAGAAAGCCCTGGGAGGCCACACACAGGGTGTGGTCCCTTAGTAAATACTCAGGTTTCTCTACCCCATTCATCCCTGTGGAAGTGGCCAGACCTGACTGGGGAGCCTCATATTAGAAGAAAGAGCCCAGGAAATAGTATCCCCAGCTGTCTCAGATAGTGTGTGGATTACTGAAAGCAGAGGGGAAACGGGGGCTTGAGGTGAGCATTCTCTGGATTTCTTTGCCTGATTCTAAGCAGATCCTCCCGGACACAGCCCACTTAGGATGGCAGCTCTGTGTACAATTCTTGTCTGCCAGAGACAATCAACATATCGCAGGAGGAGGAGACCCTCTGACCCAGGTTATCTGGATCTATTCATTTGAGGGCCTGTGCGGCCTGGTTTATGTAAACTTGACCCAGGCTAGAGTCTTTGGAGAGGAAGGAGCCTCAGTTAAGAAAATGTCTTCAAGGCTGGAGGGGTTAAGAGCACTGACTCCTGTAGAGAGGTCTCTTGAGTTCAATTCCCAGCAACCACATGGTGGCTCACAATCATCTGTAATGAGATCGGTGCCCTCTTCTGTTTTGCAGGCAGAACACTGTATATGTGATAGATAAATAAATAAACATATAACCCTTAAAAGTAAAGTCTTTAAAAAAAGAAAATTCTTCCATAAGATCTAGCTGTAGGGCATTTTCTTAATTAACAATTGATTAGGGAGGACCTAGCCTATTGCTGGTGGCTACATCCCTGAGCTGTTGGTCCTGGGATCAAAGGAACAGGCTGAGCAAGCCATATGGAGCAAGCCAGTAAGCAGCACTTCTCCATGGCCTCTGAATCAGCTCCTGCCTCCAGGTTTCGGCCATGTTTGAGAGTTTCTGTCCTGGCTTCCTTCAGTGATGAATAGCAATGTGGAATCATAAGACCAAGAAACTTTCCTCCCCAGCCTTTGCTGGTGGTGTTTCACTGAAGCAATAGAAAGCCTAGCCAAGACAGGGACCAATGGTGATGAAAGAATTGCTGTCCCAGTACCTTTTGAGCATGACTGAGGGTTTCCTGAATTCCAAACCTCTATGCCTGTGGCCATGCAGACTCAACACCCTACTCTTTATCCAAAACTCAGACCCTAACAATGGAGAAGGGGAAGCAGAGCCTCAAAAGCTCCCTCATGCTGTTGACTTTTCTGAGATTCGCTTTTCCTCAGAAATCCATAACAACTTCTGTGGGTTTGGATGAGGCTCCACCCAACACATTGGCAGTGAAGCCCAGAATAACCACAGAGGAAGAATGAAGAGGCTCAGGTGGTCCCCGGCTTATGACAGTCAGAAGTATAGTATTTAACAAGATGAGGAATAGTATTGAACAATATGAAAGTCAGAGGGCCTGGCTGTCATATTGATCTGCTCATCAGCGGAAGAAAGGCTGAGGAATGAGTGGAGCAGGGTATGATATTCATGCAGTTGTGCTCGGTGGTGGCCCCAAGGAAATGGAAGGAAATCCAAATCATTAAGTTACAAGGCATGATAGGCATCAGAAAATGACAGGAGAGGGGCTGGTAGGGTCACTCAGCAGGTGGAAGTCCTTGGACAAGCCTGACCGCCAGAGTTCAATTCCTGTCCCTCAGGGTGACTCCCAAAGGTTGTCTTCGACCTCCACATGTACTCTGTGTCATATGCATGTACACACTCACACACACACACACACACACATAAATGTAATTTTAAAGAATTGACTGGCTGTCTTAGAAGTTTGGAGTTGGTAGTCACATTTCCCCAAACCACTGGCAGAAAATCTCTCCAGACCAAAGTCACAGCTGCTCTGGGGACATCACCAACTCCTCTAGTCCCATTCAATGTGCCCTGCATGGGGTCCAGCTTCAGTGTATGACTTGGGAACAGAATAGTTCCCAATAGCTAAAGAAGGTACATCAAAACCGAGGAAGCTTTTGTTCAGTTTGAATAAGGAAGTATTGCATTGGCTTTGGGTTGATCCCACTGGTCTCTGGAATTGTTTCGACAAAGCAAAACCTGAGTTTCAGTGGCTCTGGTTGAGGGCTGCCTGATGTCCAAGGTTCTTTTCCTTAAAAGGGTTTCAAAACTATCCCAGATATCCTTTTTGCTCCGACTAATGCACAGGGCTAACTAGACAGCACTGCTATTCCAGTATTGATTGTCCTATTTCCAGCCCCTAGTTCCCAGAAACCAGTGTAGGTATTGCAGTGATCCTCTGCTCCCACGTCTGCAGTCTCCCTTCCCCGGGCACCATCCTGCTCTTCTTACAGACACCAATCATGCCCCACATATTCCAGTGTCCTGAGTATGTCTGTCTGCCGGTCACCTCTTCATAAGGACCTCTGGTTTCATGACGTCCAAAGACTGACATCCACAAACAACAAGCTTAAAACAAACACCAAACCAAACAGAACAATTTTTCACCATATTTAATTGACATGTGTTGCTGATAGCAGAGGGGTTTTCCTTCTCGAAGCCTCCTGGGATCTATACCTTGCTTTGGAATGCTTTGTAGCTGGTCTACGGTGACGCTGCAATTGGATACTCGCTGTTGGCCACCTTAAGGCCTGCTGCCACTAGAACTTCAGAACGTTCCTGACCACCTCAACATAGTGGCCATCTGGAGGTGGCTTCCTCTGACTCCCGGGTTGCAGAAACTTCTGAATTGTAGGAATGTTGCTGATTCTTGTCTTAAATGCCTAAAACAGGAAGCAGTGGAGTCAGGAGCTCAATAGCTGTCACAACTGTTAAGAAATCAGTTTTCCCATAAAAGAGGAGCTCAGGCCTTTATATATATATATATGTATTCTCTCTTTTTTTATTGCTGTTTTGTTTTTGTTTTTTTGAGACAGGGTTTCTCTGTAGTTTTGGAGCCTGTCCTGGAACTAGCTCTTGTAGACTAGGCTGGCCTCGAACTCAGAGATCTGGCTGCCTCTGCCTCCTGAGAGCTGGAATTAAAGGCATGCACCACCACCGCCTGGCTATGGAATCCAATATATTCTTCTGGTCTCTTTTGGGCACTGTGTGCACATGGCACATAGATTTACATACAGATAAACACCCACACACATATTTTTTTAAAAAAAATACAAGGTATTTTAAAAAATGAAAAGGCAGGTGATCCAGGTGTGATAGCACACGCCCTTAATCCAAGCACTTAGGAAGTCTGTGAGTTCAAGGCCAGCCTGGCCTTTATAATGAGCTCCAGGCCAACCAGGGCTATACAGTGAGAACCTATCATAAATAAGTAAATTAATTAATTAATTAATAAAGGGGTGGGAGATTGTCCCTGTCAACAGTCAGTCCTGAATGGAGGAGGACTGAGAGCTATTTGGGGAGGGGACCCCATTGTCTTCAGCTACGTAGTCACTGCTGAGCTCACCACGCCCATACGGACTGTTCCACATCCATATTCATGGGATGACCCAGTTAAACTCAGTGGTCACAAAGCAAAACAAAGGGATTTGTGGGGAAGGTTGATGAGGGCAGAGGAGAGATGAGAGTAGTCAGAAAGTAGTATGCACATGAAAGGAATTATCAAAAATAAATTTCATAAAAGAGCCTTTAAAGCAACAAAATATACGAGAAAGGGAAATGGCTACGCATATAAAAATGCATACATGAAAACATTTCGTGATCACTGTGAAGCTATATAGAAACAGGCCACAGAAGAGTATTTAGTGCAATCCCATCTTTTGGAACATACAAAATGATACATTTCGTGCCAGTAGCGTGTGTGCAGGGGGATTCATGTGTCTGCATGTAAGTGCATGCGTGTGTGCATACAATTCTTAAAGGAAATTTAAGCCAGGAACTCTAAACATAACATATGAAAGGAAAAAGGAGTTCTCTATATTGGTAGGTGGAGAAAAATATCTAGAAAGCATTTTTCTTTTCTTTTCTTTTTTTTTTTTTTGTAAAAACAAAGGGAGCGGAGAGTTGACTCAGTGGTTAAGAGCACTGATTGCTTCTTCCACAGGACCTGGGTTTGATTTTCAGCACCCACGTGGGAGCTCACAGCCATCTGTAATTCCAGTTGTAGGTGACCTACCACCCTCTTCTGGCCTCTGAGGACATCTGCACACATGTGTACACAGACATACATGCATATGAAATTAAATTTAAAATGAAGCAACAGTTTTGTGTAAGAAAATTACCTAGGACAAGAATACTTTTGTATATTTGCTTATGTCATTTTTCTTTCTTTTTTTTTTCTTTTTTCTTTTTTTTTTTTTTTTTTTTTTTGGTTTTTCGAGACAGAGTTTCTCTGTGGCTTTGGNTTATGTCTTATACATAGGAACACTGAGAGAACACACAAGAAAGAGTAAAAGGACAATGGGGACAGGAAGATGGGGTCATTACAGAGAGGGGAATTTCTCAACTTGTACCTTTCTTATATGCCTTTGCTGAATTTTTTTTTAATATTTATTTATTATGTATACAATATTCTGTATGTCTGCAGGCCAGAAGAGGGCACCAGACCTCATTACAGATGGTTGTGAGCCACCATGTGGTTGCCGGGAATTGAACTCAGGACCTTTGGAAGAACAGGCAATGCTCTTAACCACTGAGCCATCTCTCCAGCCCCCTGCTGAATTTTTTTATATTGTTCTATTGCTCAATGAAAATAAACATTATGCCACAGAAGAATATTTGTTGACATATAGATATATTCATGATTATTGAAAAGAACATTAAAAACAGACCACAAACCCAATGTTTACTATAATCCTATTTTAGGAAAAATACAAAGTGATAGGTAAAGAAGTTTCCTGCCTGTAGAATTATATATTTTTTTTCCTGTTTATCTTTTGGTTTAGATACTGTAGGAGCATAAACACACCTTTTCTTTTGTAATAAGAAGGAAGAAATGCTGGGGTTTTCTTTGTTTGTTTTTATATTTGGTTTTTCAAGACAGGGTTTCTCTGTAGTTTTGGAGCCTGTCCTGGAACTCACTCTGTAGACCAGGCTGGCCTCAAACTCACAGAGATCCACCTGCCTCTGCCTTCCAGTGCACCACCACTGCCCAGTGCTGTTCTTTTTTTTTTAAATACACATTTTTATTTATAGTTCACAGTACCTAATTCTTTACATTTAAATGACAACTAATTCATTTTTAAATATTTTATTAAAAATAGTTATTTTCATACAATATATTCAGATTATGGTTTTCCCTTCCTACCTCCTTCCTCCCAGATTCTGCTCATCCATCCTACTCCAAGCCTTCTCTCTCTTTTTTTTAGATTTATTTACTATGTATGTAGTGTTCTGCCTGCATGTATGCCTACACGCCAGAAGAGGGCACCAGATCTAATTACAGATGGTTGTGAGCTACCATGAGTTAAAAAAAAAATGGAAATTGAATAAAGACCTCTGGACCTCTGAGCTATTTCTCCACCCTCCCCCACTCCAAGAAAATGAAAGGCAAATAAAAGACAAACAGCAATAAAAAGGAAAAAAAAAACTAAGAAAGAGCAGGAGAAATGCATCACACATACACACATACAAAACCCATTAAAAAAAATCTCAAAATTAGAAACCATAATATACAAGCAAAAGACTAGTAAGGTTAAAAAGAAAAACCTCCAAAAATGCCATTGAGGTCATTTGGTGTTGGCCGTCTACTGCTGGGCATGGAGTCTGCCCTTAAATGTGGTCTGTATACCTGGTAAGACACCCTTAGAGAAACTAATTAAAAACATTGTTCTTAATAGACACAACCTAATGGTTCTCTCTGAGAAAAATGTGAGGAGCTAGAGCAGGGGCCAAATAAGTGTGGCAACGGTGGGATTCTTTGTGGAAACTGAGGCAATGTGACCGAGAGATGACCCAGCATCAGGACCACTAAAAGTGGACACCATCATCTGATAGGAGCCAAGCTGAAAGGACAAAGACTCTCGTCGCGAGTAAAAAATGCTAAGAGTGCTGAAAAGGAAGAAGAAAAGACAGTCCTGAATGTTCATTATTTGTTTTGCAACTACCAGGGACTGAATCCAGGACCTCATACATGTGTATCATGTGCTCTGCCTCTGAGCTGTGTGCCCCAGCAGTTTAAACGTTCATATCAGAACCTCAAACACCCATTTTCCCATCATATAAAGTGCCATTCCCTAACAGATCCTACAGTGTAAGTGCGACAGAATAGCCGGGGTGAATAAAACGATGCCTTTGGGGTGGTTTCTCTTCAAGTTTTAAGTCTGGTTTGGAGGCATATCTGTACCGACGCGCATCCTACCTGCAGCAGAGGGAAGTCAGACAGAATGGAAGCGCTGAGTTCCTCCACCATCAAAATGGCTTCTAACAGCTGTATGTCTGCCCAACTGAACCGGTTGCCAACAAGAAAATCCTCCCCGTGGTCTTTCAAAATCTACAGAAAAGAAATACATACTTTAATGGAAGTAATGATGATTTGCCCGTCTGAACGCTGTACTCTGAGGCTCGCTGAAGAGTCTTTGATGATCTCCAGAGCTAGCAAGAACGGATGAAGTCAACTCTCTTGCACGTACCATGAAATGATGGAATCTTTGGGGGATGAGTCAGTGACTATCAAGGCCTATGTGGTGAAGGGCTGGCACTTTCTGGAAAGCATGGAGGGAGTGAAAAAAAAAACTGTACCTGCCAGTACAGGGACACATGGGAGCTAGGATTATTGGGGACCCAGCTGTTGGGACACAAATCAAAATAAGTCACCAATGGAATCAGAAACCCAAACCAGGGAAAAAAAAAAAAAAGCTAATTTTTCAGTACCCAGTGGAAAGCGGATATAAAAAGATACCAGAGTCAGCTTTGAGTAGCAAATAGGTAAACTATGGTAAACTCCACAAAGAGGGATATATATATATATGAACTTGGGAAGGGTCTGGATAAGTGACTTAGTGATTAACAGCACATGTGCCTCTATATCTCCAGTTCCAGGGAATCTGGTGCCCTCTTCTGGCCTCTATGGGCATCAAATACACGCAAAATACACAGACATGCTGACAGGCAGAATACTCACACATATAAAATTCTTTTAAATCTAAAAAAAAAATTAATGAAAAGAAAAAGGTCTTAAGCAAGTAAGTAACAGGATTGACATTTGTAAATGCCAAGTAATAGCTCCATAGAAATTCTGCTTTGGAAAATCATCTAAATGATTGAACAGGGGTTTAAGAAACTTCAACAAACCACAGTTATCTATAATTGAAAAGAAAACACCTCTATTTATGTTGAAAAACTGGGCAGAAATACATGAAACCAATTCTTACACTTTTGGTGTATGGGGAATAGTTATAGTTTCTGTTTATAGCCTATGTTTCTGATTAAGATGTTCACATAAACTAAAGCACAATAAACGTTGTAGTGGTTTGAATGAGAATGACTCCCCCCATAGATTCATAGATTTGAATACTTGGTCACCAGGAAGTAGCACTCTTTCAAAGGATTAGGAGGGGTAGCCTTGTTGGAAGAAGTATGTCACGGAGCTTGGGCTTTGAGGTCTCAAAAGCTCATCCCAAGCTCCTCCTACTGCCTGTGGATCCAGATGTGGAACTCTCAGCTATCTCTCCAGCACACATCTGCTTGCATGCCACTATGTTCCCCACCATGATGGGGACTAAACCTCTGAAACTGTAAACAGCCCCAGTTAAATGTTTTCTTATATAAGAGTTGCCATGGTCATGGTGTCTCTTCACAGCAATGGAACAGCGACTAAGACAAACATGCTTAAATCTATGATAGAAAATATTATCAAGCTACTTATAAGATAAAACCACAACAATACAAATAGCACTCTAATTGTTCCTATTTGAATATGCTAAGTAATTATTTTTTAAGCATTAAATAAAAGAAAGCATGCATCTTCATTGTTTATATAAACCACACTTAGAGTAACTAAGTATGTCATGTAGGAGAGAGATTCGTGTTCTCTCTGTCTCTGTCTAGCTATGTAGCTCAGGCTGATCTTGAACTCCATATTCTCCTCTGTCTGATCTCCAAAGTTCTGAGAATACAGGAGTGCCCTATTGCACTTGGTTTGGGGGTATCTTTGTGTAGAGAATAGTCTATTTAATGAGTGAAGAGAGCTGGGCATGGCGAAACACACCTGCAGTCACATACGTAGGAGGAGACAGGAGGACTGAGGCTATAGCCAGCTTGGACTACATAGTTAAATATGAGGCTAGGCTAGAGTACATGGAACCTGTCTCAGATAGATAGATAGATAGATAGATAGATAGATAGATAGATAGATAGATGATAGATAGGTGGATAGATAGATGGTAGATAGATAGATAGATAGATAGATAGATAGATAGATAAGGTCAATATTTCACATCTTCTAATAAATCATCGTGTGCTGGCATTGTCTATTGTACAAAGAACAACCATCAGACAACTTATGCTCCTTCATGATTTACACAATACCATATATGAAGTATGCTGGGGGCCAAATAATTGGATCTGAGTCCATTCAAGATTATAATTCCAGATTCCAGGACATTCAGGAATAGAGGAATAGGTTGTGTTGACTAAAAAATCATGAAATTACATAAAAATGCAATAGAAAAGGAGGGGAGACAAGAAAGAGGTAGCTACCAGAGAAAAAGGAAGCCTAAGTCTTCTAATTAGGATTGTAAAGTTAAGTTTGATCCAGATTTGAACAAATGAGTCATTTATAAATGTTTTGAGAAGTATTGGGTAGACTCCCTGGTTTACAATCTACAGCATAAGCAGACTAAACTGTGTGACATTTAGATGAAAGTGCTTCATGGCCTTGTCCCATCTAGAACACTGAAGGACTGACAGACTCTGTGTCTCAGTTTACACAGTATCCTATAAAACCTTTAGTTGTGGGCCCTGCCCTAAAAGGTCTTCCTCACCATTCCACACACTGCCCTAGAGACTTGCAATCTTTCAAGATGTGTTGTGAAAACAGTTTCGTTAGCATGTCCCACTGAATGCTGCACAAAAGTTTCCAATTTAAAAGCTTTTGTCTTCTTTATTCAGGCAGTTAGCTTCCAGTACTGAATTCAAGGTGAATTCAAGGTGGTTGATACCTTGGGCTGGTAGCTTATTGATTCTTTAAAAACAGAACAGAAATTGTTTTATTAGAGGTTCCATAATTTTGGAACCCATATTATTAAAGTTTAACCCTAGGGACTAGAAAGATGACTCAGTGGTTAAGAACATTGTTTGCTCTTCCAAAGACCTGGGTTCAATGCCCAAACCCACAAACAACTGTAATCAATTCCAGGGGATCAGATGCCCTTTTCTGGCCTTCACATGTACCAGGCATTCATGAGGTTCATGGCGTACTTGCAGGCAAAACACCCATTCACATAAAATAAAAAAGTAAATATTTTCTTTTAAGTTTTGACCCTGTCTTAGTTACTTTTTTATTGCTATGAAAAGACACCATGACTAAATCAGCCTCTGATGGAAGAGTTTATTTGGGGCTCACAGTTTCAGAGGATTAGCATCTATGATAATCGTGGCAGATATCATAGCCGCAGGTAAGCTGGCATGGTGCTAGAACAGCAGATGACACCTTACATCTTGAGACACAAGCATGAGGCAGAGAGAACTCACTAAAAATGGTGTGGGCTTTGAAACCTCAAAGCCTGCCCTCACTGACATACCTCCCCCCAGTAAGATCACACTGCCTAATTCTTCCCAGACAGTTCCATAAATAGGGGACCAAGCATTCAAAATTTACGAGCCTATGAAAGCTATCTCATTCAAACCACCAGAGACCCCACAGCAGGAAATCTCTCACACAGCCAGTCCTTTAATATATGTGTTTTATTTTGTGTGACTGTATACGGGGGGGCACGAGGAGGCCAGAGGACAATTTACAGGAGTTGGTTCTCTCCCTTCCACCATCTGAGCTTCCAAGAGTGAATTAAAATTTTTAGTCCTGACAGCAGGTGCCTCTACCCACTGGTACCCATATTTCACTTACCTTTTTGAACACTCATTCTTAAATATTCTGCATATTAGGAAGAATACAAGCTTACCTTTTCAAAGACAGGGAAGTAACGGGTTTTAGCTCTCTTCACTATTAAAGCATAGCTCTCCTCTTTTTCCTTCGGGGGCTTAAATGCAGCCTGGGCGATCATTATCATCAGGTCCAGGGTGCCATCAGTATACATGTCAATCCTGAAAGAACACCACAGACTCCCATTGGAAAGGAGCCTTCGAGAGCAGGCTTCCCAGGGCAACATTGGACAGGATACACAGTGTTAGTGGTGTTTGGTTCTTCCAAAGATCCTCCACTCTCAGGAATGATTTCCAGAACCAAATCTAGCCAGGTGATACAGTAGAATGTTCAATAGCCCCACCCAGTCAGCCATTGGAAAAATACATAAACAATTGCCTGAATCTATAATTTATCACTACATGGATGACATTTTGCTATCTGATTCAAATGTAGATACTTTAAAAAGAATGTCTGAAGAAGTAAAGAAAGAATTGCTTAAATGGGGATTACAAATTGCTCTTGAAAAAATACAAAGAGGAGATTCTATCAGTTACCTAGGTTATAAAATAGGTTTACAGAAAATTAGAACACAAAAAGCACAAATTAGGAGAGGCCCATTGTGGACTCTTAATGACTTTCAAAGATTGCTAGGAGACATTTCCAATCTACGACCCATTGTTGGGATAACACCCAATCTAATAATTCATTTAAACAAAACATTAGATGGTGAGAAAGACTTAAATAGTCCCAGGGAATTAGCAAGTAGAGCTGAGAAAAAAATTGACTTTGATTGAAGAGAAATTACAGAAGGCACATGTAGATTTGGTGAATCTGAATCTCAACTGCATTCTAGTCATATAGCCCACCAGAATTTACCCTATAGAAATTTTAATGCAGAGGGAAAATATTATCTTTTTTTTTTTTTTTTTTGGGTTTTTCGAGACAGGGTTTTTCTGTGGTTTTGGAGCCTGTCCTGGATCTAGCTCCTGTAGACCAGGCTGGTCTCAAACTCACAGAGATCTGCCTGCCTCTGCCTCCCGAGTGCTGGGATTAAAGGCGTGCGCCACCACCGCCCGGTTGGAAAATATTATCTTATAATGAATCTTTTTACCACATAAACCAAGTAAAAAATTTAAAATTTATGTGGAAAAGGTCTTTGAATTAATTATAAAAGGAAAATTGAGACTTCATCAACCAGCTGAACTAGATCCAGCAGAGATTATAGTACCTTTTACTAATGAAATTAAAAAATTATGGGAAGATGACAAACCCTGGCAAAGAGCTTATGCTAATTTTTTTAGAAGTGATTAATAGCAATTATCCCATGGTACTAAGGGATTTTAAAGAAACTAAATATAGTTCCTGATTCACAATATACAGAAAGAGTTATTTTGCATATTAAAACCACTTAATTTATATCAAATGATACAGAATTGACTTCATTATTCATTCAGGTTCAAGATATAATCAGGAATAAGCTTTGTCCCATATACATAACACAAATCTGATCCCATATGGGTCAGCCAGGTCCTCTAGCTCAAGGTCATGCAAAAATTGATTGATTATTGATTGGAACTGTGCTGAAGACCTCAGAATTTCATAAAAAAAATCATGTCAATAGCAAAGGTTTAAAGAAAGAGTTGTCTATTACATGGCAACAAACTAAGATTATAATAAAATGTCCTACTTGCTCTTTCTATAACAAAATACTGATAACTGCAGTGAATAACTCAAAGGGTACTCAAAGGAATGAAATCTCGCAGTTTCACTTTGCAAAATTTGGAAAATTAAAATACGTACATCACACCATTGACACCTATTCAGGTTTTCAATGGGCAGCTATCTTGAGCTCAGAAAAGGCTGATTCAGTAATCACACATTTATTAGAAGTTAGGGCCATCATGGGTATACCTGCACAAATAAAGACAGATAATAGTTCTGCACATGTCTCTAAGAAAATGAAACAGTTTTTTGCTTATTATAATATGAAGCATATTATAGCTATACCAAACAATCCTAGGGGTCAGGCAGTCATAGAAAGATCAAATTGAACTATAAAGGATACATTAAACAAACAGAAAATATCCCCAGAAATAGATTGCATAATGCCTTATTAACCTTGAATTTTCTTAATGCTAATGAGAAGGGAACAATCAGCAGAGAGACATTGGATAATAGAAAGAACTTCTGTATTAAATCATCCAGTGTATTTCAAGGATGTGTTGGCCTCATAATGAAAACCAGGAGATGTGCTATGTTGGGGAAGGGGTTCTGCTCTTGTTTCCACAGGAGAAGAGAGGCTATGGATACCATCAAAATTAATAAAAATTTAGTTTGAAAAAGAGAGACCTCTTGAGAAAAAGAAATGACAGCTCATCCACAGAGGTGACAATCTTACAGATGGTAAAGAACCTCATAAGGGTTGGTTCTGATCTTGTCTTTGCAGGAAAATACTCATCTTCAAAAAGTTGAGAGAACTTGGACATCTAGATACCTAAAGAAGAAAAGATAGCTATCCAGAAAGAATCACCAACCAAAGAGGAATCTGACTTATGGTACCATATCCTCTACAAGGCAAAATTTATATATATATATATATATTTCTTAGTACAATAAAAACATAAATCACTTAAAAATCAAAGGTGACTTTGGAATTGGACAGTGTCTATTCTTCTCTAAATCCAAGCATGTTGTTAAAAAAATCAGAGTTTCTGTCTCATCTCAAGAACTATCTGGTATGGGACAGAAAAAAAAAAATTTAGGAAAAAATTTACTTCTCCCCATACTATTTTGTCTCTATTGTACTTTTCATTAAATATATGTCTAGGGCTAGAGAGATGGCTCAGAGGTTAAGAGCACTGACTGCTCTTTCAGAGGTCCTGAGTTCAATTCTCAGCAACTACATGGTGGCTCACAGCCATCTGTAATGAGATCTGGTGCCCTCTTCTGGCCAACAAGCATACAGACAGAACACTGTATACATAATAAACAAATAAAAATCTATAAATAAATTAAATAATAAATAAATAAATAAATGTCTATGTGAATAATGTTTAAGTTTTCCACAATGAACAATAAATTCTCCTGAAGTAATCTTTGAAGTTTCCAGGAAGAAGATGGGGCCCCACAACAATGATTCCACCTGGTTGATATGACGTCATGATGCTGATAGTGGTACTTTAAGATCAGTTTTGGGTACCAGCTGCTCAAGATGATTCTAACTTGGCTAGCTGAAATGGTGCACCTTCTTACAACATTCTGGCCAGAACTTCAAATAAGAACTTAACCGTCATTTTAGTTTTTACAGGATCCCATAGAAATAACCTCACCCTCATGACAGCTGAAAGTAATTCTAAAAGATGATATCCCTCTCCCAACAAAGTATGTCAGGGTTAGGTACAACTATTAGGGGTTAATTAGAAGTGGTATAGGGTTGGGGTTGAGGTAGAAATTATGTAAGGGGTCTCTTTAAAAAAAAAAAAAGGAATTGATGGGATAATAGGTAGATTAGTGTGAGCTTATTCATAATAATAATACGTGAATATTTGTCAGCTACTATTTATAGACAATCTACATTGCTATAAATTCTTATATATTGCTACAAATTCAAATTATATGTTATATTGAATATGCTTCTATTTTTTTATAATATTTGTAAATCTATGCAAAGTTATTTTGTCATATTGTATGCATGCATGTTTCTACCTTGGCTTAAGATATTTTACATATTGATACAATTTTAGGATATACATATATCATATTGTACTATACATTTCTACCTCTGATCAAGATAGTTATACACTATTTATATTTTGAGGTCCTTGTCTTTATTTGCTGCACAGTTGTTTAAAGATTATCTAATATTCTAGTATAAAGCCTTAGTCTTTAAGCTATATAGGTATTAAGATTATAGGTCAATAGTCATCCATGTTTGTTATATACTTATAGTTAGACTAATTGGATTCTTTAGATACATAGAGATTCTATTCTGCATCGATATTTAATTTTTAACCACTTCAAAGAACTGTAGAATATGGCATTTAAATAGCTTAGGGTTCTGTCGATGCGAGACACCATTGCTCCTGGCAGATCCGATGTATTCCCAAGAGAATGATGGGCACCAAAGACACTCCACTTGGAGCTTGTTTTCTTCTTGGCAAAACCAGCCGTTGGGCAAGGAACTGCTGACGCCTCGACCACTGACAAAATGCACAGTATCCAAACCAGACAAGCAGGATACAAGAAAAAAGACTGCCAAACATTGCCAAGACAGAGTAAGATGGTTTTAAATTTTTCCTGCCTCTGAAAATTGTCTGTCAGTTACTCTAGGCCTTAGCCAAAGTTGGTAGCTCCAATGTTGCAAATGAGACTTTGGGTGATTGCCCAGGTAGCCAGTTGTCTCTGTCATTTATTGCATCTTTTGGAAGTTGCTTGATTGCACTTCTTGTTAACTCAAGTAATATATTATTTCCCTTCTCAGGTCTTTGATGGGGTTGAAGACTAAGTAGTCATAGTTGCTTTCCTCTCACGACTTAGCCAAGCTATTTCTAAGACAAGACTTAGACTCCTTAGGATAAGTATTAAAGCATTTAGCATATGTTTCTTGATTGATATTGTTTATGCTGGTTGTAATTCTAATTTTTATATTTGATATTTGTTTTTATTGTGTACAGTTTTGTATTAGGCTTAGAACTCTTTTATTTTAGATAAAAGGGGGAGGTGCTGTGGGAATTCCCTCATCCAATAACCTTTAAGATACTGGCCCATTTTGGGCATGGTCAAATGTACTACATATACAGATGTAAAGATCCAGCTCCTTGACTTGCTGGATTTGGTTCCTGTTCTCCGCAAATGCAGAGGACTGCTGATCTGTGAGTCTAGCCCTAAATAGACCTTTATTACACTCCATTCTGAGCTTATGTGGAACTATTTTATTGTTAATCGACAATACATAGCAAAATAGATCATCAATAATATGTTCAAGGTATGTTTGCTGAATCAGTCATTCTCACCTTCATGTAAAATACTTCACTAGGGCAATTTCTGAGATCATAGTTTTCTAGGCATGAGTATGAGAATACTATAAGCTGACTAGTATGGGTTATATCCAAAGAGAGGGTAGATATGTGCTCAGAATTCTGCACAAGTCCCGCCTCCTCTAGCAACAGCACCTCCTTTTTGTTCCCTTACTCTCCCCCTTCAGTTCCGGTTGAAAGATGCAATCAAATCAGGTTTCCGTTGGTATAAGACCACAGATGCTTGGTTTAAAAATCTAGTAGAGGGAAAGGGGAGGCGGCGGTGGGGAAGAGACAAAAATCTTTAATAAATAAATTAATTAATTAAAAAAAAATCTAGTAGAGGGATGAGCACTAAGGTACCTGAGTCTCTCCTTCAGGTCCTTCCCGTACAAGTTGTACTTGGCAGCGAGGTAGCTGAGGATGGCTCTAGACTGTGTCAGCGGCATTCCATCAATTTCAACCAAAGGGACTTGATCAAAAAGCAGGCGGCCATCTGCGACGTGAAAGAGAGGGTAAGCTATTCATCTTCAACGATTTCAACGGTTGCAGTTCATCTGCAGGATGGCCCAACTGACTCCCCAGACTGGTTTCTGCTTAAAATGATAATGACGGGCCCCAGTAGGTAAGAAACGACAATCATTTATTTCGTGTCAAATTTGAGCTTTGTTTGATTAATTCATACTCTTTTTGTGTGTATTGAACAACAGCAATTTAAAAAAGCTTTTTCTGGGGCTGGAGAGATGGCTCAGCAGTTAAGAGCACTGACTGCTCTTCCCGAGGACCCAGGTTCAATTCCCAGTACCCACATGGCAGCTCATAACTGTCTGATAATCCAGTTCCAGGGGATCTGACACCTTCACACCAATGCACATAAAATAAAGTTAAATAAAAAAATTTTTTTAAAAAGATTTTTTTCTGTATTGATTCTAATATATACATATTTATAAACTGTTTTATACAAATACATATATTTTATACAACATATCTGTACATATGTTTATACAAATACATATACAAATACAGAGTAAATTTTACGTATATATAAAAAGATCTCAAACCTTAAGCTGTGTAACAGTGTTTGGGCATGAAGGTTGCCAAGAATGCCTCATCCTCAGCTATTCTGAGCTGGGACGGAGGTCTGAGAATATGAGCAAAGCACATCGCTTGCTTCCGTAGGGCATGACAGCAGGAAGGACACAGCCACAAGAGCACATGGCAGGCAGTCATGCATTCTAGCCATGCACGCTAGAACGAGCTACTTACCTGAGCTTCGGCATCCTGTCTCTAACAATAATATCTATTTAGCAGGACTTTGAAAGGGGATAATAACTAGAAAACAGTGCCAGGAATCCAAGTAAATCAAAACCAAGTTTTCACTGGTGACTGCTTACATAACTGTAGTTTATTATTGCTCACCAGCAGGAAAACCTTTTGAGACTTGTATGTTAGGTAATTTTGTCCTTGTGTGGATTCTGTAGTGTGTACACACACAGACTAAGATGCCTACAGAGTCACTAAGCAAAACAACCTCTTCAGCATCATGAAGGAGGGGCCAGAATGGAAGCAAGAATGAGAGGATGGGGAGGGATGCTGTGAGATGGTGCCTCTGGGTCAATTGCATCCCAGGAATCACAGCAGCTAGGGTTTCTGAGACTAGCTCAAGACTGGGCCCATCAACATTCCATCATGGACAGAGGAGGGGCATTAGGGCTCCATTGTTCCCTGAGGAACCATTGATAGTTAATGGATCCTGGAGGAGGGGGAGTCATTGTCTTTGGTGGTATGGCCACTTGTAGAACGCCCATGCTCTAGTAAACAACCTCTGAACCATGCTCATGCAAACAATTCTAATTAAATTCAGTGAGTCCAAAAAAAAAAAAAAAAATAGGAAGGGGACTGGCAGAAAGAAGAAGGCATTCAGTGTGGGGATGGGAGGGATAGGAGAGGGCAATGGGGTGTTATCAAAATCACATACATGAATGGAATTGTCAGAGAATAAAATTTAAAAGTAAAAAAAGAATGGGCATGGTTCAGTCTCAAGTACATCCTGTGTGTCATAATTCGATAAATCTATTAAAAACCCAAAGAAAAAATAGGTGTGAACCACAAAGCGTAGGGGCTAGCCTCCTTACCCTGCCCCCAGCCACCGAGACAAGGTTAAGCCTCACTAAAGGGAGTCAGGTGCTGAACCGCTAAGGAACTTATACTATTAATTAATTGAGGCCGGTGCTGTCAGATACTTGGTACGTATGACGGCTACAGAGATCCGATAGTATTAGCTTTGCATCAGGAAAACGGGGGTTAATCAGGCAGCGTTTGTAGGAATGTTGGTGCCAGTTCCTTCCAGTAGCTGCCACTCCTGAGACCTGTGTTTTATATGATGACTATATATCCAGAAACAAGTTTTTATTTTTTCCCTATAAGACAGCATTGAATAAATCAAAGCTCACCCTTTTGCAACTTCTCATATTGTTCTCTTGTCTCCAGAAATTCTTCTTCAAACTAGAGTAAGGAGAGAGAGACATGGTTATAACTTTAAGATGGGAAGCAGGGAGACAGAGATTCTGACACCTTTTGGAAATGCCTTAGAGCTTTCAGAATGAAATCTAAAAGGGAACCGCAAAGCTGTCGACTCCCACCTAAAAATAAGATGGGGCGTGTATTTAGAGATTAACTCTCAGGGGTGTCCAGCCTTTTGACACTGTGACATGATGTTGTCATATTGGCTGCATTCATAGCTATCCTGGAATGCATGTGGCTGGGGTGGGGAGCACTTCTGGTTGGATGAGCCTGAAGGGATGAAGGGGACCGGAAGACCTTGGAGGTTTACTTACATCAAGGATCCCCAAGCCCATTTTCCCACTTTTGTTTTGCCTGGACTAGCTCTTCCCTTACTCTAAACACTTGTCTTTGCCCCAAACTTCTCCAGTGATTCCCCCCCCTTTTTTTAAAAAAAGACTTATTTATTTATTATGTATACAATATTCTGCCTCCATGTATGCCCACATGCCAGAGGAGGGCGGCAGATCTCATTACAGATGGCTGTGAGCCACCATGTGGTTGCTGGGAATTGAACTCAGGACCCCTGGAAGAGCAGCCAGTGCTCTTAACCACTGAGTCATCTCTCCCGCCCAATTTTCCATCTCCCCTCACCTTCTTCCTTATTTGGTTTTTATAATTTTTCCTTCCTACCAGATCAATTTCAGTTTATCTTTGGGACTGATATATTCAAAGAAGGAGATCCAAAGATCCCACTCAAGTGAGGCTGTGGTCATTTCCTGATGGGTCTTCTGAAGCTTTGCGATGGTGGCTTTGTCCTTCACAACTTGAGATGGTGTGGGACAGATGAGCAAGCTAGGGAAGAGTCCTCATAGGGGAAAGTGGAAAACAAAGCCAGCAGTGAGCCCTTACTCCAGAGGACATGGTATGCAGACTGAGAGAGACCGTTCTAGGCCAATTCTATAAAGTCAGGGGCAGGGGTTAGAGATAAGGGAAGAGCCAGTTAACAGATCGCACATCTGGGCTGGGGCTCCAGCGAGCAGCCATGAACATTCCAGCAGTGAGGTGCTCAGGTAGGAGTTAAATGGCCTCAGAAAAACCAACCAGTCCAGTAGAGAGAATGGGCTAGATGTACAGTTCTTCCCCTAAGATCTTTTCCTCTCTAGGAGCTTCAGACGACCCCAGGCCTTCATCTTCCCTCCACCCCTGTACCACATGCATGACTCTAATCTCCCCACTTTTCTCTTATCTAAGAAAACAGCTGGAAAGAAAGAGAAGAAAGAGCTGAGCCTTAAGTTCCATCCCCAACCAGAAACCAACCTCCACTCCCGCGGCAGCCAGCAGCCAGCGGATGGACTCCATCCTGCCTCTGCCCTGAAAGTAGTAGAGCTTGGGCTTGGTTTCCATGACTCCTGGTTCAGTTTCCTAGGGGGAAGCAGTAAAAAGTGCATTTGAACAACAAACTAGTATACAGTGTATGCTTTGTCACCGTTTATAGCCAGGATGAAACAGGGTAAGCAAAGCTCTTGTGCAGGGATGCTCACACACACACATGTGCACACACATACACACGCACATGCACACACACACAAGGTAAAGCTATAGAGAAAAAGCACAAAGGCAGGACAAAGGATGGCTCTATGAATATCTGGCTAGGACTGGGGAGGGGCATTTGAGGCTTCTGGGCTGTCAACAAAGTCCCGCTTCTTGAACAGAAACAGCAGTCTTTAAAATTAGCCACTTAAATGTGTATAAATTGTTTGCTTTATGCTTTATAAATGTTGTCGCTCACAACTGAGACACAAGAACAAACTATACTCAACAAGGGTATATTGTTTGAGATCACCTCTGATATTTGGAGAAAGGAACCAGGAATTGATATAATGGTTTCCTGAATATCTCTAATAT